CTGCTTAAAATAGAGCTAGCTGTCTGGTTGCCCATAAAAGGGGAATCCCCCAGGACAAGGCACCTGTGCTCAAAGAGAGGAAAAAGAGCCACTCCTTGTTTTCACATCTGGCTCCTGGCCAGGTTAGATTTAAGGGATGAAGTCAGTCTGCCTCTCTTTCTCCCATGCACTCCAGATTAAACAATCCTGCCACCTTTTCAATGGGCCTTAAGGCTCAGCCTCAATACACATCACCAGGCCACAGGGGCAGCAGCTGCCTCCCAACCCTTTCCTGCCTCTCAGCCCCAGTGGTCATGTCTCAGGCCAGCCCCCTCCCCCATATCCAACATGGCTGCTCCTTTCCACTCCAGCTTATCCAGCTACACATTTCCTGCAAAGATCCTCCCCATAAATCAGTTATTTTTAAACCACATTAAGAGCAGCCCACCCCACCCCACTTCCCCCAGCCTGGAGGCCAGGCCAGATAAATGTTGGTCTGGGCCTTGACCCCACACCACCAGCCACACACACTCACTTGGGGGAGGGTAGGCAGTCCAGCAGTTGAGGCCTGTGGAAAGGAGACTAGATTTCCCCCAGGCCAGCCCCAACTGCTCAGCCATCACTCAGTCTATGACCTATGACCCCTGCCACACAGGGCCATGGCAGGCAGCTTGGGAGGAGGGGGCAGAGGCTGGGGGCTACTGCCTTCTCCCAGTAGGCCACCCTTTCCTAGCTCAATTTCCAGACCTCTCGTCTGGGAGCAGCTTCACTATGGTCATTTCAGCCTTAGGGCTGTGTGTCCATGGACCCAAGTGGTCTCAAGCCCAGGGATCATAGTGGCCCAGGGAAAGAAAGGGCAAGAGAATGAGTAACCCAGGCATCAGGGTTAGGAAGGGAAAGCAGGCCTGAAGCCTGACCCTTCCAGTGTCCCCCACAGGGAGAACAGACCCACTCTGGACACAGGGTGGATTCTGAGGGCTCTTCCCCCACTCTGGTGCCTGGACACAGCTGGCAGCATCACAGCCACCAGCTGCAGTGTCCAGGCTCCACTCTGGAGCCATTACTCCAGAGCCCTGAAGTGCTAGAGTCATAGGGCAGAGCTCCCAGAAGGGGCAGGCCTAGCCAGGTCCAGCCTGTGGCAGCTGGTTCTCCTTCCTACCCCCACACCAGCAGGCGAGGGCTGATGGACTTTGGCTGCTGGAGCAGAAGTGGCCCACCAGGACCTACTCCTGCTCTCCCTCAAAGGAAGGGATGACAGCCAGTTGCCTGCTAGGGTAGGGAGAAGCTGTGTGGGAGATACCTATAGCAGACAATCCAATGGGAAGACAACAGCTGACCAATTGGGGGGTGGGTTGGCTATGAGTAACCTAAACTGGAGATCTGCCTGCATCTGTGGGAACAGCCCCACACCCCAAGCAAAAGGGTACAATAGTTGGGAAAGGAGCACAGGCCACAAAGGGCACTGGGGCTCTAAGCCCTGCCCAGACCCTGGGCTGGAAGATTACCTCACCTCCCAAACCAATGCCAAGGAAAAGGCGGATCCAGGGTGGGGGTGGGAGGTTTGAGAGTTCCTGGCTAGAGGTTTAATTGGGAAGAAAAAGGGACTCTTCATTCATTGTGCAGATAATACAGGGGAATTTCCCAACTCAGACTTAGGATTAAGACTATATAGTAAAAGGGCAAAATGGGGGTACCTGTCCCCAAAGCAAAGTACCACATGGAACAAGCAGAAGCAAGGATGGTGTGAGACCTACCAATGGGGTAAGCCCCCTCACCACCAAGAGTCAGTGAACAGGAAAGAAAGTTGAAGCTACACAAACAGGAAGCCACAGGGCCTGCAGGAGGAGGGGTGAGGGGGGTGTTGCCATAGCTTCTGTGTACCAAACAGGCCCTGGGCAGGGTGGGGGCACCAGGCAGAAACATGCCCGCAACACAGAGGAGTGATGAGGCAGCTCCAAGCACAGGGGCAGAGGTGGGTCCTTGGGAAAGGTGCCAACTCACTGCAGTTCTCAGGAACAGCCAGGTGCATGCAAGGCATTCCTCAGGAGGCAGCTGTGGAGGGTACGGAGTGCATTTGGAGAAGCTGAGAAGTTCTGAGTTTTGGGGCAGAGAAGTAGACTCAAGGAAAAAGTTTAGGAGAAGAAATACCCTGGGAATATAAGATATATATTATGAGTTAGAGGTCCATACCTGAAAATTCTGTTGGGAGAAGGGATGAGGTAAAGAAAGGATTAGAGGCCAGTCCCCAGGGGGCAGAAGAGGCACTGGGAATGAGGAGAAAGGGACTGCAGTTGGACAAAGACTACTTGTTGGTTCTGGAATAGTAAGGCCGTGTTGGCCCCACTCTGCCTTAGGCTCTGCAGTTTTAGGTCATCCCTGTGGACTAGGAGAAATTGGGATGGGAGTTGAGCTAGGAAGATATCCCTCTGTCTTGTGCCCTGGATTCAGAGAAAGAACTAGGGAGAGCCCATCCAAGTCTCCTGCATGGGATCTCCACAGCAGTCCATCCTCACTCTCACTTCCACGGGACGCCTTCCACTCCCTGATACTAAGTTCCCCCAGAACTTTCCCGGTGTGGACTCCAGGAGGACTGCAGGGTGGGAAGGCGGGCAGGCCACTTCCGATCCTACAGGTCCAGCCCCCTCCTAGCCACACCCTGGGCCGTTATTGTGAGATGAGTCACACGGCCTGCAGGGCCTGCAGCTAGGGTGACGCAGTGGTCTGGGCGTCCCTTCAGCCACCCTGCCCGAAGCAACCACCGGCTTTCCAGTGGGAAGCACGGGGTGGGAACCTCGGCTCATGTAGGGGCAGGAGGGCCTGGCAAGTAGTCATCCCTCCCATCACCGCCTCACACAGGCAGGGCATCCCGGTTGGCTGCAGTCCCCAAATGCCTGCACTACGGGGACTCTCCAGGGTAGACTGAGGCTTCAACTCCCTCCCGAACGGGGAAGGAGAGACTACTGTGGGACCCCAAGCGCAAGCCCATGACCCCGAGTCCCCAGGAAAGGAGCTGGCAGAAGAAATAACAGAAAAGACAGCCTCAGGGCGCAGAGGGAAGGCAGTGTCTGCACGTGCTACTGGGACCAGGAAGTGCAGGGTCGCACAGTGCTGACCCAGGGACCCCGGGACACTCCGGAGCTCGGGGCCAACTAGCCAAACCTCGACTCCCTCCTTCGTCACGGGAGAGGACCCAGGGCTGAAGCCGGGGCGTGGGGCACAGTCCCTGAGCCCCTGCTCTGGGTGGATGCCCCGTCTGTGCAGTCACAGCATGGCCTGACCTCATCGCCCAGCAATGCGGATCAGGGCTGGGGGCAGGATATGACCACGCGGGGCGAAGCGGTCACCGGACCCTCTCCCAGAGCCTTTGATCTGCAAGCTCAGTGGAGCAGGTCCCCACGAGGGCTTCTCGCTTTCCAGAGAACATCCCCCAACCCCTCTCAAAACAAACAAACAAACAAACAAACAAACAAAAACTTCTTACCGTCTGGTAAAGAGCGCGCACTCCAGGAGGGCTGCAGGGCGTGTGGAACGCCTGGGCTGGGCTGGGGGTTTTCAGCCGCTCCTTCCTAGGACTGGGCGGACTGGGCGGACGGGGGGCGGGGCGAGGGCTGGGAGGGTTTAAAGGCGCAGTGGCGCAAGCACTGGACGGTGGTTAGAAGAGGCTATGAATGAGAGCTTGGGCTAAAGGATCTGGGGAGTCCGGGCCTCCAAACAGCGGCAATGTCTTCACCCAGGACTTCTATCTCCCCACCCCAAGGACCATAGATTTGTGCCCCAGTGGGACACTTTCTACCTAGGGTTAGCTCAGGACTGTTGGGCATATACGTTGGGAAGAATCTTGGTTCAAAAAGGGCGAGTAGGTAAATGGAGGCACAAGAAAACACACCTCCATCCCCCACCGCGCCTCAAAACTGACTAGGGTGTGACAGGATTCGGGCTTGCAGGCCAGGACAGCACTGGCGCCTACTTCAAGCCTAGGCAGGAAAGCTCAATGAGGTCATTTCTGCCTGGTGCCTGAGAGGTGTGATCAGTGCTAGGACCCAGGGCTCAGACTCGGACTACTCTCCTGGTCATCTTCTGTGACTTGGCATTTCTTAATCCTGGAGAGCTCAGAACAGGAGGTTCCAGTGGAGGAGGCTGACAGTTCAGTCTAAGTAGAAGTGAGCACTTTGAGGAGCTGGAGTGCTCCCCCTCCCCCCTTCCAGGCTTCTGTGAGAAGTCCCCTGGGGCTGAGTCCCTGCTTACATCCATTAGTGGAGTTCTTTATGTATGCTACAAACTTATTGTGCCTGGTTTTTAAAAGACATCAACTAGTGTCCTCCCACTTTCCATTCTCTTCCCCAATCCTACCACCCTACATTCTAGTACCTCCAGGTTTTTACTCCTCCTTCACACAGGCTATTCTGTCTGGAGTGCTTTTCCTCCCTTGACAGATTCTCATCTGCTCTGCCTCTCACCCACTGTTGTTGACTTGTGGACAAATTACTAAAGCACTGGACCCCTCCATTTCCTAGTCTAACAGTACTACCAACCTCAGTTGTAAAGAACTAACCAATACATGTAAGGATCTTAGAGGAATGATGGCACATGGGGAGTGCTCAGTTATTAGCTGTCATTGTTCTCACTCTGTAAAAACTCTGAGGATCCCCAACATGAAGCATTTGTCCCAGCCATGCTGTAAGCATTCACTGTGTTGACTCCTTTGTGCTACCACAATAACCAACACATTGCTTTATCACAGAACTTACTGCATCATACTATAACTATTTCAGTTGTCTGCCTCACTGACAAGAGAGTCCCCAAGGGCAGAGGTATGACTTAGTGAACTTCATATTTTCTCAACATCTAGCTTTATGGCTGGTCTTTAGTAGCTGACTTCAGTAGACAAGCAATAAATGCTTTTTGAATGGATATTGCATACACCTCCATTCATTTAGGAAGAGTCCCTTGTTCTAAGGGCTCAACATTTTCCCACTTCCCTCTTAGATTCAAAGCCAGACGACATAGAAACATTTTCCAGATTTTCTTTATTCACCCATATAAAACATTACCCAGACTATGAACACACACACACACACACACACACACACACACACACACACACACACCCTGGTAGGCCTAGGATCCCTGTTCTAGTCCCCAGGCTCTAGGGGCTCAGCACATACACCCCACACTATGCCCACTCAAGCCCACAGTCAACATCTATGCCTAGGTCTCAAAGGCGCATGGGCAGTTTCCTAGGCCACAGCTGGGTCTTGCTGGGGTCTCCTTTGCAGGGTCCATGTACCTTCACCCTGACATTAGGGTGTTCACAGCAGAGTGGCCTGTTCAGAATGAGGGACTGGCTGCCAATAGGCTGGTAGCCGGGCCCTAGTGGCATCTTGGCGGCGGCGGAAGGCCAGGAATTCCTCCCGAAGTGCGGCACAGCGGGCCTCAGGCCCAGGAGTATGGGCAGTGTTCAGGAGACAGCCCATCTCTGGAGTCTTGGCACCTGCAACAGGAGGGCAGAACAACCAGAGGACAAAAATCTTGAGGTTGACTGGCACCATAAACTCCCCAGGGCTGGCAGGTCAGATGAACCAAGGGAATAAGAGGAAGAGCCTGGGGCCCCAGGCCCAACAGGGAACAGACTTGGTCCTAAGGCTGTGAGAGAACATGGACCAGCAAGGCCAGGAATGCCTGCCTTTCTGGAGAGCTCACACACCTAGCTCTGACTCAGCTTCAAGTCGGGGTCGAGGGCCAGCCAAGCCCCGGTACAGAGTCTCCAGCAATTCCATGTCCCCAGTGAATTCTGAATCCCATTCATAGTTCTCATCCACAGATGTGTTCCTCCTATAAAAAGGGCCAAATGTGTGGGGTGGGTGGAGGAAGAGTGGCCAGAAAAGCCGAAACCTAGGCTTCCCAAATTCAGATAGGGCCATGAGTTTCCCCTGAGGATCCCTAGACTTCAGGCCAAAGCTTCTAAAAGGAGACAAGGTCTCCTGGCCCCAAGGTGGGAGTGGAAAAGAGAAGGCAGAAGATACTAGGAGAGGGGTGGGGAGAAAGTCTGAGATGACAGGCAGGACTAGGGCCAGGGCAGGGATGGGCAGGGAGTGTGCCCTTACCTCTTGCTGACTGTCACCACATGGTCCCTTCGGGGCCACCTCTCAGGGCCACTGGCCCAGCTGCTGGTGTCTCCTGGAGTGGGGCTGAGGTAGCTGCCTCCTGCTGAGGGGGCAGTGGAAGGGGGCCGAAAGAAAGAGGCACTGCCCCGCCCACTGCTCTGGCTGGTGACGCTGCCCCGAGGGGCACCAGGGACAAGGCTTGAAAGCAACCGTTCCCTCAGTGTCCAGTCAGCCAGTGCTGTGTATGCAGGCTCTGTGACAGCCCCAGTACAGACTACAGCTCCAGGAAGTACTGCCCTGGGGGATCCCGGGGGGGAGTCCAGGGGTTGAAGGAGAGGTGAGGTCTGGCAGGGCTGAATGTCCGTGTAATCTGAGGGTACAGCAGAACCAGGCTCCTCAAAAGGGGGCCAGTCCCCATCGACATTCATCTCCCGGAAGAAGGGCAGGCTCAGGTACTGGAGCAGGGGTCCTGCACCTGGCAGGGGACTGGGCGAGGATGCAAAAGAGGGCTCCACAGGGCTGATGTCTGCAATGCAGAGGGGCTGGGGCAGCCCACTGGGGCTGCTGCGGCTGCTGCTGCAGTCATAGGACCTGGTCTGACACTGGGCCAGGGTCCAAGGTTCGACCTGCTCAGGGCCTGACCTTTCTTGGGGGGTCCCCACATTGGGTCCCATCACAAAGCGCCCATCTGGTCCCCGGCAAATGGGCTCCAAGGGCAAGGGTCCCCAGCTAGGTGAAGGATCTGGAGGGGAACTGGGGGGTCTAGTGGGCTCCCCACAGAGCAGACTCTGGCACATGCTGGGGACTGGGGAAGCCTGGAGCTTCAGCTTGGCCACACTGTCAGGACTGCCTGAGCCTGGAACAGACCTAAGGAAGGGCAAGAGATCAGGTTCTTTGGTAATGGCCAGCCCTTCTCCCAGGAACCAACCTCAGGCCTGGATAGGTTTGGTACACAACAGAACAAAGCTAGTAAAGCAAGTGAAAAAGGACTCTCATGGAGAGGTGGAGAGAGGCACAAACACTGGACCACCCCCAGGATGGGGCTCTGCAAACCCATCATCACTTCCTTCTCACTTCTGTTCCACTTCCCAGGACTCCCACCCTGAGGTACACAAACAGAAACCAACAATAGGTGCACACTGTGGGGAGGCAGGAGGAAGGACTTACGGTGGAGCTGACAGCCGGGGTGGAGAGAAGATAAGAGGTAGATCTGTAAGGGCAGGAGAACCAGAGGTGACACAGGCAAACCGAGGGCCCTCCAGGGCCCCAGATGTAGACCCTCACCCAACAGCAGGTGCCCAGCTGGGATAGAGTAGGCAAGGCAGGGTGCAAGGTGGAGAAAGGAGGGCTTTCCTCAAAGTAGGAGGCACTGATGGGAGTTGGCCCTACCTTGGCGGAGGTGCTTGCGGTGGCGGTGGCGGACAGCCCTGCGTTGGCTGGTTAGGCAAGCAGCCAGGATGCTCACAAGGACAGCTGCCCCTAGGAAGCAGAGCCCACCCAGAACGCCGGCCAGTACAGGCTGTGGCAGGAGGCCTGGCAGCTGGGTGCGTGACGGGTAGACCTCCAGGCCTGCCGAAGGGGCCAGGAGGGAGGGTCAGTGTCCAGACTCAGTGGGCTCACAGCACCCTAGACCCCAGCCTCAGCCCTCCCTCCAGGTTCTCACCAGAAGTAGAGATGTTGGCCAAGTTGCTGGGATTGCTGACATAGCCACCAGCCAAGGCCACAAGGCGAAACTCGTAGAGAACATCCTGGGAGTGCAGGTGTCCAGGAAGGAGGTCAGGACCCAGCCTGACCACCCACCCCAGCCCCATTTGGAAAGACACAGCAGTTGAAAGGTTAGGATGAAGCAAACAGAAAGGTGGTCAAATCTTCGTGAGACAATCAGATTTGGGGCATGGAGCTGGGGCCTGGAGAGCCGTAGGAGAACCTCCTGTGCCAACCTCCCATACTAACCTTAATAAGGCCAGGCACCAGCAACTGCATTTCCGTGCCTGCCACAGCCCGGTCCAGCACCTCCCAGCCCTGGGCGCCTTGTCGACCCTCTAGGATGTAGCCATCCAGTCTCTGAGGGACCAATTCTGGGGGATCCCAATGCAGTAGTACCCCCCGGGGTGTCCTCACTGCCACCAGACCTCTGGGAGGGGACAGGGGAGGTGCCATCTCTGTCATAGGAAGCCTGGGGGCAGCTGGTGTGGTAGAAAGCCCTGAATGGGATAGACAGGCATGGTAGAAATAGATTTCCAGTGCCCTTCCCATGGCTTTCCAGAATCCCCAGTGTCTAGCCATTCTCCCAGATCCCCGAAAGACAAGGCTGGATCATCTTCTACAAATTCCTCTGGGCCCCAAGCTGCTCAGTACCTCTGACCCCTCCCACCCAGATCCTCTCATATCAGGGCTTTTCCTGCCAGCCCTTCCCCATCCTTATCTGCTGCTCAGGGGTGAGAGGTCTCTCACCTTCAGGGGCAGACAGAACGATCTCGCTGAAGGGCCCACTTCCCAGCTTGTTCTGAGCTAGGACACTGAACTGGTACTGGCAGTGGGGCTGCAGCCCTGGTACAAGGAGGTGAGCAGCCCCCACGGGCACCGCCAGGGACACCCAATCATGGTGGGCTCGGTCTGGATGCTTGGCCCTGGAGGGGACATGAGGAAATGGAGGTACCTCATCAACTAGGAAGACCAGGAAGCTTGGAGTCCAGAAAGCTGGTCTCTCCCCTCCCCTCAACTATCCAGGGTCACCTAAAGATTCTCAGTAAATCAGGCAGCAGAGCTGGGGCAAGGCTGGAATAGAGGGTGGGAGAAAGGGCAGAAGGCCAGAGAGAATCAGGGTGGGGAAGAGAGGAGTGGCCTGTAGGCCACTCACAATGGGGTATACCAGACGCTGAATCTCTGCAGATAACCACCATCAAAGCCAGGCTCCCAGGAGACATTGGCACCCTTGGGCAAAGGCACCACGGACACATTGGTAACAACATGGGGGCTGGTGCCTGGATAGGGGAGAATGGAAGTAGGGATAACGGTCAGGGCCATAAGGAGCCCAGAGCCTCTGCTCTCCACCCATCATTCCAGGGATCCCCCACCCACTATCCCCAGCTGAGCCTCCAAAACTGATTCCCCATCTCCTGTCCCACGTGACTTCCTGCAGCCCACAGCCGACTATGCAGACACTAACCCAGCACGTAGACATACGTGGAGGTGGCCACTTGGGCTACAGCATTGCTGGCGATGCACTCCCAGCGCCCATGGGCCTCCTTGGTCAATGGTCGAAGGATGAGGCTACTGTTGCTGTCCACCTGGGCCTGGCCCTTCAGCCCCCGGCCCACCTACAGAACCACTGGTCAGCCCTAAGGATACATGCAGCCACCCCCCACCAAGGGTGCCACCTGTCTATCCGGGCAGCTCCAGCTTCCTCCCCACCCTGCCTCTGAGAATCTTTCCCTTCCCACATCCTCCTTTCCACAAAATGAATAGGGACACAAAGAGGAAGGGGTATGCTGGCCAGAGTACAGGCAAAGCAGGCTCAAGAGCCTTACCTTGGCCCAGGAGACAATAGGAGGAGGGTCTCCTTGAGCAGAGCAGGGGATGAGTAGCTCCCGCCCTACTTCTTGGAAATATTCTTCTTTGGGCCGTTCTAGAAAAGCTGGGGGGGCCTGCAAGCCAGAGTTGGCATTGGAAAAGGCCTCTCTCATACTGCTATACCCTTTCTGGGGCTCCCAGTACCACCACATCTCAGCCTCATCTCTCACTATCTCCCTAGTTCCATGTCTCTATTCCCTGATGGGATAGAGAAGACTGAGGGGCTGGGAGGTCTCCCTGGAGGTGTACAGGCTCCTACAGAACACCCCCAGAGAGGGAAGTGGTGTGGTCAAGGTTAGTGAGAGTAGGGGTGGAAAGAGTATCTGACTGTGGATGTACTGTGTGACTTATCTCCCATTTCCCTACTACCATCTCAGCAAATAAATAAATAAATAAATAAATAAAATTGGGATGGCATCTGACAGCTGCTGCTGTGACCACAGGAAACACAAACTTGAAAGCCCCCTAACACAGCCCTCTACCAGTCAGTTCTCCACACAGGGTGCATCTTCAGCCACATGACCCACTGCTGCTGGCTCACCATGAGCCTCACCTTGAGCAACACGCGTGTCACTGGGGAGGGCCCTGCAGTGCCAAGACTGTTGTAGGGGGTACAGGAGTATTCTCCCAGAACGTCCTCATTCCCCAGGGCAATGACAAGTGACCCTTCTGGGCCCTGGGACCAGCCAGGGAACTGTAAGGAAGACATGATAATGAAAGAAAGTCAGCAGAGGCAAGAGCAGTGAGGACAGGTACAAGAAGCCCACAACTATAAAGAGAACAGCACAGCTTCACTTTCTAGGCCTGACCTCTCAGCACTCGTCCTCTGTCTCTCCTAGAGAGGGGCCACTCACAATGGCTGTGAAGGCTAGAACTACACAACTCCAGAGAATACAGTGTGAACAGCATCCCAGCAGTTAAGCTGTATGGGGGCTCCCTGCTTACTGGGACATCATCTGTTTGTCTTCCCAGCACTCCATGACTAAACTCAGCATCTTCCACCCCAAATCAGATCCTTTTCCTGGCTTCCCTATCTCTCCATTAAAGGTCCCACTGTCCTTACTAACATCTAACTCCTTCCTCTCCCTCACTCCTCCATCTATATACTCAGCAGGTCTATCCTCCTAAGGAAGGCCTACTGTCTACATGTGAAGCCCATCTACCCTCATGTCCTCCTCTCTAACTCAGGATACATAATCTCTCATCTGGACCACTTCAACAGCCCAAGAACCCCTCGCCCTTGCCTACTCTCTCCCCCTCCATTCCATCCAACGAACAACACAGCTATGATGCTATCACAGCATCGCTCAAGCAACTTCACTGCCTCCAACTGCCTTTAGATTTTTTTTTAACGTTGAACAAAAACTTACTGAGTACTATTATTGAAGAAGCCCTGGAAATACTAGGATTACAAAATGCAATACTAGCCCACAAGGAATTTATAGTCTTTGCAGACAAACAAAAGATCCCAAACTCCTGGAATGAGGTAATATTAACTTGCCATCCAGAGTTCTTCCTTTTGGCACCATCTGTCTTTCCAGCTTTCTCTGCACTATTCACATCCACATAGGTACTCCCACCAAGCAGGATGATTCATTATCATAGATACACTATATTGTTTTTTTGCTTCTGAGCCCTGGTTTCTGCATGAAAACCAAGCCTGGTTTCTGCATGTAGGGCCACCCTTCAAGGCCCATCACCAAAATCCCAGACTACAGCTGATCTATCCTAAACTAATCCCTACAAGAAGAAACTTCATCCCTGGCCTTCCAGCAAAGTGTTTCTATTGCTGTCCTTCCCCTTTCTAAGCTGTGCCCTACTTAAGCATGGAATCTCACTGTTCTTGCTCCACATGCAACACATTGCACATCACCTGGTATTAAGTGTATGCTCTAGTAAGTGATTTGAATTAAACTGAACTAACTCTACCGCAGCTGTCATGACAGAAAAAAAAAAGCTGGGACCTTCATTCCCTTGCCCCAAGCCTGTAACCCTGTAACCCTGTAAGCCTGTAAGCCTGTACCTTCTCCAGCTGAAGGGCCTGCCCATCCTTGGTCCAACTGACAAAGAGCAGTGGGGGGTTGGCACGAACTGGGCAGCGGATCACCCCACGCATGCCTATGGGCAGGGGTGTCTCAGGAGGCATCGCTGTTGCCTGGGCTGGGTCTAAGGGAAAACAGTGGCAAATTATGCAGGAGGACCTTGGCCTGGCCCAGGGGGAGAGAGCTTTGAGGGGAGCAGGGGTCAGTCTTACAGAGCACAGTGAGGTAGGCAGAGGCTGAGGGTGGGTGTAGGAGGCCGTTGCTGGGCACACAGGTGTAGAGGCCAGCATCATCAGGCTGGACAGCCTGCAGCCACAGACTTCCATCCACCAGGATCCGCACTCGTGACTGCAGGCGGCTGCAATATAGTATGTGTGGAGAAACATCCAGGCCATGCTCAGCCAAGAGGCCTTAAAGACTATCCACCAGTACCCTACCTCCACCCTCCAGAGCCCCACCTAATGTGGAAGACATTGATGCTGTCCTGGAACCAGCTATAGGTGAGGTTAGCAGGGTATGCCTCAGCCTGGCAAGCCAATGAAATATCCTGGGAGGTATTGACCGTGCTGTTGTTGGGGGGCACCACGATGACTGGGGGTCCTGTGGGGGAGCACAAGGGGAGGGGGCATCTCAGTCCACAGTCTTCCCAGAAACCTGAGTTCACTTGTACTGTTATTCCTGGACCTGCCCTCTGGAACACTCATTCACTGAGTTTCTCCTGCCCAAGAACTCTTTCTGTGCATGTGTGTGTGTCTTGGGGAGGGGTATCAGGTTTAAGTTTCCATTCATTTACCCTCTATACCCCTCATCTGCCACATCTTAAACCACCTCTATGTTTCCTCTCCTAATCTAAGTACCCAGTACCTTACCCCAGGCTCTCCCACTGATGGCCATCCATGCACTGAACAGCCATTCATTCTTTGGCTACGGCAATTTCTGCTCAAGAACCCACAACAGCTGCTATCTCCTACCATTTGAAGCTCAAAACTTCTAGACGCAGCCCTCTTGATCCAACCACTCCCTGCCTGGCCAACCATCTTTTCGTATGTCAAATCTTAGGAACAACTCTTGTCAGGTCAGTGTGGGCAGCTCGCTGTGCCTTGTGCCAGGCTCACCACATCCCTAGGCTCTCTGAACCCCCAGCATGGAATGCTCTTCCTAAGAGCCTGGCCGAACCACAGATCCCCTGCTCTAACTTCTGCTGCTGTACATGAGTAGTCAATAATAGGCAAGCCAGGAGCTCTGCTAAGCACTGCACTGCATCATCTCATTTAACCCTCAGAAGAGCCTCTGTGGGAGGAATTACTGTCTCTACTTCATACATGAAGAAATGAAGGCTCAGAGGCAGAGAGGTTGTGAGGTGTAACTTGCCCAAGGGCAGCAGGAAAGGTAAGACTCACCTTCAGGTTTTGCCAACACCACAGACTTTGCTCTTAACCATTACCCGGCACTGCATTTCACAGAGAACCACAGTTCCTAAATGGTCTTACTTTCCCACATAGATGAGAGACTCTATAAAGGCAGAGTCCAGGCCTGTTTCTCTGCTTTCCTTCTAAAGGGAAGGTCTTGGCCAAGAATTACTATGTGCTGCTCACTAATTAAATTCTTACTACAATCCTAGAATTTGTGGTGGCAGATGAATCTCTTTATATAATGGGGAAACCAAGGGTCAAGGGGGTCACATGATCTAACACCAGCACACATGCTCTTTCCACTATACCATATCACTTTGCACTAAATGTCTATCTCTCTGTTTACTAACCCTTTTAAAATTTAAGATGCTAATTTTAGAGGAACAGCCTGCATTGGGAGTTTCCTCACTCTCCTCGGGCCCCCATCCTAAGGCATACATCTCCTCCAAACTCCAGCCATATGCACCCCCAGCCACAAGTCAGGCCTCACACAAAGGTGTCCCAGTTCCCAGCTCTTCCCCCAGAAAGCACCTAGCACAATCAGCTGGGTGGTGTGGGTGGTGCTGCCCTCAGTACTGGAGGCTTGGCAGGTGTAGATCCCAGAGCTGCCTCGCTCCACCCGCCGAATCCACAGCGACCCGTTCTGCACCTAGGGTAGGAATTGAGGGGGCAAAACCCCTTCAGCAGGCCTCAGACCATGCACTTCCAAGGCTGGCCAGCAGAGGGGGCAGCACCCCAGGTTCAGGATAGAGAGACAAAGCCCCTCCTCAGGCCTTTGCCAGCTGTTCTTCAGCCCCTCTCCCAGGCCTCCACCAGCTCCTCATACTCCATCTGGTGCACCCTGCCCACCAACAGGCTTCACCTGCATCTGGCCATGGCCCTGGCCAAGGTCCTGTCCTTGGAGCTTCCAAGTCACATGAGGCTGGGGGCTGCCTTGAGCCACACAACGCAAGGTCAAGGGCTCCAATTCCTGAACTTCCAGCACCTGGGGAGGTGTCTCCAGGAACTGAGGGGGTGCTGTAAAGAGAGAGGCATCAGGGGCTGCTAGAGGGGATATCAGCCTGAAGGCAGAGACAGATCAGGGCTGCAGCCCTCAGCCCCCCCAGTTCCAGAGGAACACCCAGCCCAGGGACACCCTGTCTGTGGCACTCAGGGGATGGGAGGGGCAGAATGTAAACACTGAGAGAACAAATAAGGGTGTCAGCAAGGGTGGGGCAGTTGAACCACCCTCCTCTCCCCCTATTGCCAGCCAGGTGTCCCATCATCCAGCTCCCAGCTTCGTACAATTGACCATGAGAAACACCCAGGAACCATTAGCAGAATCATCTTCGGGGCTGTGCTTGTCCAGGAAGAGCACGCGGCACTCGTACCATCCCTGGTCTTCCACCCGGAGCCCCTCGATCTGGAGAGATGCTCCCTTCTGCAGCCGGACTCTCCCTGGAGTAAGAGTCCTGAATCAGGGTCACACGGATCATTCTCAGAGGTAAAAAACAAGACCAGTCTCTCCCAGTTACCCTGATAGAGTGGGGTCCAGAGAGGCACAGAGGGTCAGTGAGGGAAGTCCCTCTGATCACTCCTGCCTTTCAGCAGCAGAAACCCAGTCTAGACAGAGAAACTCAGAGCTCAGGACTGTTGTGGGGAGCAGACTGAAGAGCCAACATTTAGTTAGTATCCTTGGATTCTTTAAGGATCTGCCCATCCCTAAGCTTTCTGTAGAGCAAGGGATGGATCCCATGAGTACACCTCCTGCGAGGACTCTGTCCACAGAAGCCTCGGCAGTGTCTGGGGCCTGCGCAGATACCCAGACCTACCCTATTAAAGTCCCTAATCCCTCAGGGCTATTTATCAGTGGCCTAAATGCCAGAGTCCAGCCCCGCCAGACAGCAAGGTCAGCAGCTTCCTCACACATACCCTCACACCCCAGGGTACCCAGGCCCCAGCTGACCACAGCCCAGCAAACCTCAGTCAGCATTCACACTATACCACCAGGCTGAGACAAAGGGTGCCCCCAAATCTCTCAGCACCTCCCCTGACAGCCCTACACCCCAAACAGCTTCATAAGTCCCTGGCAGTGCAACCTAGAAAAAACAGCAGCTCTGCTGTATAATTGCCTGGACAAGTTACTGATCTCAACTCCCGTGTATTCATCTGTAAAATGGGAGAAATGTAGGTGGGGTGGAGGGGAGAGATCATGTAGAGGAGGCAGGCAACAGAATGCCTGGCATCAGCAGGTTCTCAAATAAAAATTGGTGAACAAGTAAATGAGCTCAAGATTTGAAATCGGCAGCCTGCATTCAATCCTGGCCCTGTCCCATACCTGGTAACACATCATCTCCCTTTTCCTTCTATCAGTGAATGGCACCACCATACACCAAGTCACCTTACCAGAAACCTGGCATCACATATTCTCTCCGTTACTGATCCTTCTGCTTGATCAGTAAATCTTTCAAATTCTACCTCCTAAACATTTGTCCCTTTTCTACCACCTTCACCTTAGTCCTAGATGTCTTTCACCTGCGTTACTCCATTAGCCTACTGAGAGGTCTCTCACCTCCAGCCTAGCACTCTACACTCAACAGCTGCCCACCCCACCTTGATCTTTTATATGGATAAAAGACACAAGTCCCTTAGCATTTTGTCCACTCTAACAAACCAGACTGTGCCCCAAATTAGCCCTTCCTAATACTAAAAATTCTAAATCTGTTAGTGCACTCACCCACTCCAATCTGCTTCCATTGTACCTCTAGGAGATTTTTCTGAACTATAATCTAAACCTACAGTCCCCCTAATGCCTTCTGAGAAGAACAATCAAGTGGAGGCCAGATGTGTGGTGGTAAGCAGGAACTTTTTTCTCCCAAATATGAAGTACAGAGGTGTGGATTCTCTAGGAAGGGTGGACCTGCTTAAAGGGCTTGGTGTTTAAATCCCCACCTAGATTAAGCCTAGGCCTTGAGGGTAAATATTTAACATAATCACACCCTTCCACCCACCAGTGAGATAACCCTCAGTAACCCTAATCTACCTTGCCATAGACTGCATTCCCCTCTAGCTGCCACGTGATAGTAACTTTTCATTGTGGCGATCTTCAAGCTCTATAAGAAGGCAGAAGGAGGGAGGGAAATTGAGTGCTGAAAATGGGCTGTGCAATATTACACACTGTTAACCAATTTAATCACTCCAAAAATTCCACTATATAGAAAGAAACTAATGTTACGCTTCTTTCCAAAACCACATGACAAAGCCAGGCCTTCTTTCTCCAGGTGGTCATATTTTCCATTGCACAGTGGTATTATGATCACATCAAGCTCAAGGTATTCAGCACTGAGCACACTCAGTGTGCTCTCACTGTGGGATACTGGTAGCCAGGGGGTAATTGTTCCCTATGTGTGTTGTGTGTTAACCAGAACATCCAGTGAAGCATACTGAATGTCCAAACTTTTCTGTGCACTATGGACTACTAGACCCATTACAGAAGAACAAGATGGCCAGGGCAGGCAGTCCCGAGTCCACATGAGTCCTAGGTCTACCTCCTGGAGGCCCACTCTCCACCCATAGGCCCAACGACTGATGGACTTGAGACCTTCTAGCATTCAGGAACATATAAATGAAGCAGGAGATGTATCCCAGCTCTCACAAGTTCTCAGAAGGCAGGGAACCCACACTCACATTCATGTGCAAGCTCACATACGCACGGTTCAAAAAATGGTGCTAACTGTGCCCATTCTGAGATTATGAAGCAAAAAGAGTACAGAAGGCTTCCAGGAAGCTGTGGTCGCGCAGAGGATTTTAGAGGACAAAAGGCAGTAAGGGAAGATGACTAGATGGAGCAGGGGTGTTCTAAAGCAGAATGAGATAGCTGATTTGTATCAAACAACTCAGGACAGAGAAAAAACTCATGCCCCTTCTGCTGTTTGGGGTACCTTGAAACTCCCAAGAAATACAGCACAAAACAAAAACCAAAAGCAGCCCCCATGGATTAGAAACACTGGCCTAAGACCCACCCCAGGAAAGGTGAAGTAGAATAAGGCATGCCTTTCTTTCCTCTGATGCCTGGTCACATTTCATACCACACAGACACTCTCTCCATGCTGGCACTTCACACACAATAGCTAACTTTATCCTAGTATTTAGTCCTAGCTGGTTTTATGCTGCTTTTTACTGCTTTCATACTAGCCTATAAATCCAGTCTCTTCAACTAGACTGATTCTAGAATCCTCAATGGTTGGAAGCTTTCCCTTTGGTACAGTCCCTAAAGCTCCAGTCACTTTTGTGGTGGTTCTTCCTACATTCTAGGCATCAGCCTCACACACAGTCCCAGGCCATCCCCTTCATTTGCCAAAGAGTTTCTGACAGGACAGCATTGTCCTTAGTAACCTCTACCTCCCATTGCCTAGCAACAACAGTTCTCAGTCCCCTACACAAAGGATGAGAGGCCCCTTCCACACTGGGAGGCAGTAGTTAATGGGCACAGGGGTGTCCCCCCTCAATCCCACCCCCAGGAACATGACTCTGCAGACTAGCCCTGGCCCAACCAGGAGCTCCAGACTGGGGGTAGAGTGGACACAAAGAGTAGAAATAAAGCCCCAGAGGTTACTGCGCACAGCCCTGGCAAACAGAAAAGAAATCCCACAGTAGCAAAGTTTCTGGCCAGACCTCAATACAGGGCAGGGGGTAGAGGGAAGGAGAAGAGTTGCACATCTGTCTGGTGGAGTCTCAGGAAAAGCCCTTCTCCTTCCTCTTCTCCCTTACTTTAGTCAGGTATCTTCTGCAACTGCCCAGTCTCAGTCAGCCCACACCCCTTCCAGACTGCCAGCAGAACTAGGAAGAGAGGGCTGGTAGGTATGGCCACTTTCTCTCCACTTGCCTTAAGCAGGGACCACTTTCATCAATTCTCAAGGGTAGACATATATGCTTCCACTAGGATGTTTGCCAGTTGCCCCCAGTTCGAAAGTAAACTCTTCCCTTGGGCAACCTCCTCCCCTTTGCTCAGCCAGCCTCTCAGAGCTCAACCAATCCTATGGATTCTTCAAGATTCAAATTAAAAATGGAAAAAGGAAAGCCCCCCTCCCACCATCAATGACCTCCCTAGGTGGCCTTTCTTGGGCTTCCCCTCCTAAGCTCCTAAAGGACCCAACCTTAGGCGCCCCCCTACTGCCTTGAGACCTGCACTAAACCTCTCAGATGAAGGCTCCAGCCAGGATTAAGAGGAAGCTGAGCCTTTTGAGGGAGCTAGCTGGGGCCCAGGGAGGCCTATACACAATTTTAAAGTCCATACAAGAGCCACTTGAAGCAGCAACCCAGCCCAGCCCCTTCCATGTGCTGATCTTTTGGGAACCTAATCCTCCCCAGCTCATGTCTGTGCACACGCTCTGTACTAAAGCTCAGGTTGAGCCCCCTGGAGAAGCAGACAGGTCATAGACCTACCCACCCTGCTGTCTCATCAGCCCAGACTCTATAGGCCTAGAACTCCCAAACTAGCATTAAAGATAGTGGAGGAGGGAGAGGGCAGGGGAGTGAGCTGATAGCAGAGCCAGGGACCAGGACAAGCCCACGTAGAGAGACCAGAAAAGATCAGGATGGAGTCTGGGAAGTGTCATGATGAGATCTAGAAAAGTAATTAGAGAATTAAGTTGGATACTTGAAACAGGGCTGCAGGATCACCCTCAGAAGAGACCACATGGTGTTCTAAACAGCACATATGTTAGTGTGCATGAGAATGAATGTATAAATGTAGCTTGGAAGTACAGTCATGTTTATTAAGCAGAATTGAAGAGATGGAACTGGAGGTGACGTCAGGGCAGACCCAGACAGTTAAAGAGGAACCCCAACCCCAGCCATTCTTTGTTGGTCATCCCTCTGATCTATAGCTCTTACCCACGTAATCAGGGTCCACTCGGGGAGAGTAGAGGCCAAACTGGATGAAGATGGGAAGCAGGAACCCAAAGCGTAGCCACTCAATGACGTGTAGAGGGGGCCGGCCAGCTGGGGGCAGCAGATCACAGCCCAGCACAGCACTCTCCCCAGCCCGGCCCACCACAGGTACCACCTCAGAATTCCCTCGACCTGCATGATGGGTGGCATGAAAGACAGCAGGGGCCCATGTCAGGGCTGGGAGAGGAAGTCTCATCAGTGTCTCAGGGGGCTCCCTAGAACTCCGAGTAATTGAGGGAACCCTCAGCTTCTCCAGAACCCTTACATACTCACAGAGAACCCCTGTGGAACACCCCCACCCCAAGCTTACAGGGAGCTCTTGAGTCCAGCTCACCGTCAACCCCTTGGCTGATGATCAGGCTGAGGATGGCCAGATTGAGACACCAAACCATAGCCCAGCTGCCTGCTCACCCGGCCCCCCCTATCTACAGGGGGCAAGGTGGAGGGGCCTGGGACGTCCACAGCCCAGCAAGCCTGGCCGATCCTTCTGATCAGATAACAGGTTTCAGCTCGTACTCTTCTGGACAGTTAGGGCTTAGCTCACGAAATATCTGAGGAAGCTGTTCTCAGGAGCACCGCCAGACCTAAATGCCAAAAGCAAGGTGATATGCCAAGTTGGCCAATACTGGAAACTAGGAGAAATTCCAGTTAGTGAAAAGCTAGGAGGAGAGCAAAGGAAGAGAAAGGAGATGAAGCAGATAAGTAGGAGGAAGGGTTTCAGGAGACCAGAGATTTTGACACCTGCCCCTTGGCGAATAAGGCCTGGGATGAGAGCAACAGGAGAAGAAGGAAGTGCTAGACAGGTCAGGACATGATAGGAGCAGATCTTAGGAAGCACAGAGGAATTCTGGGGAAAGTCATTTTACTAAGGTCCTCAAAAAATTGAAGCAAGAGGGAACTGGGGGTTCCTATTACACTCAGAAAAAAATTTCAGGAAAGTATGGAAGATGGAAAAGCCATCACAGCCCAGCCTCCTCTTCCTTCTTTTTCCTTAATCATGATTCTAATAAAAAGGTGGCAGGTAGGAGGTAGCAATAGTATTGTCTCCACCACCACGGTGACAAATAAGGACTTTGAAACTCTCCAAGAGCCTCACTCAGGAGCACAGAGCCAGTCAAGGGCAAAACATGGATTAGAACCCCCTGAAAAGGGTCCCCATGGGACTCCCACAGAATTCCTTCCTTCATTTTCCTGACCTCTGAACCCTGGAAGCTGGGGACCAGTACCTCTTTCTCTATTCAGCCTTGGAATACTGCTTTAGCAGTGAGTGAGTCAGCCAATGGGAAAGGGGGAACTGCCTCCTTCACCATTAGGAGCCCAGGCAGCACCCTCCAGGTCTGGGCAGGTCTCTGGGCTGGCAGCTGGTACCACTTCTTCTTCATGATGCTGCCAGGCAGCCTCCTTCCACTAGACACCCTGACCCAAGTGCTTCACCCCAACTCCTGCCACTTGCTCCCCTCCAATACCCTCAGTGCCCAGGATTTGCAGGATCTCCCTTCACCAGCCCTCGGGGCATGGTCCATGAAATTCCAAAAGAGCCTTGAGTCCATAGGGTAAGGCCTGGGAATGGAGGGTGGTGGGTGAAGTGCTGCCTTGGGCCTGGCAAATCCAAGTGGACTCTGCTCTGGGCCTCCACCCCACTCTTGGCCTCACAGTTCCCAACTGGCTATAAAACATCCCCAAGTCTCTCATCATGACCCCTGCCTCTACTTGATGGCCCTGTGCCTCCCGACAACTCATGGGAAAATATTCCCCTTGCTCCCCACTGCCTCTAGCCAGCTCTCCCATACTTCCCCAACAAATTTCTTCCCAAGGGTATAGGAACTGCCAGTTCCCTTCTGGCTCACTTTTCTGAGAACCTCATCAACATAGGTTTCCCCAGAATTCCTCTGCTTTTCCTAAAAATTTTCCAACTCCTCTGCCCCCAGCATGTCCTCACCTGACCGGTTTCAACGCCCAGCACCCCTTCATTCTCCCAGTATCCCCATTCCAGTTGTCTCTACTTCTCATAGTCCCACTCCCCAAATGCCTATTTTTCGAACCTGATCTCCAACTGTATCTGGTCTTCTGTGCTTCAACAAACTCCCCGTCTCCACCAGAATCTCCACCCACCCACTTCTCCCATCCACTTCTCCTCGGAATTTCCTTCCCTGTAATTCTGCCTCAGCCCACAATACACTTCTGTTGCCCCACCCCCAATTTCCTTCGCTCTCGCCTTCTCCAAACCCCTGAACTCCTTGCTTTTGGAACCCACCAACAGCCAGTCCCCTACCTACCTACACACACACACCCGCGCGCATTACCTCCAGAACTCCTCCAGTTCCCAAGGAACACCCACCCACCAAATGATCACATGAAATGTGATCATTTACTGAAGCGAAGAATTCCACTTCGCTTCCCAGAACTCCCCTAGTGTTGAGCCGCAGAGAATTCCACTTCTCTGCAAAAGTCTCCAGCGTTCTCCTGACCGCCTGACTCCCGCACCTTTATCCCTCACCCCAGACTGCGCTCACATTCCATCCCCTCCAAAACGCCCACGCCCTCACCTGCAGATAGCCGCTTCGCTACCCTCCGCCCGCTGCACAATAGGGGGCGGACCACCTCCCGCCTCAGACACCAGGCAGCACCTCCGGTAGCCCTGGAGACAGCCAATCCTCGCTTGCCGCGGCCAACGGAGATTAAGAGGGTGGGGAGGCGGGCGCGACCCCCTGGCGGCTTGGGACTTGTAGTTCTCCGCCAGCAGGACTCCGCTGCTAGTGGGCAGGTCGCCCTCTGGTGGAGAGCTGTGCGACCAGCCACGGAAAGGCCGGAGGGGCGGCTGGTCTGGGCCCTTGCCGGAAGTCGCTGGAGCCGGCCTTCATCGTCTACGTGCTCGCCCTCCTTCCAGCGCGTTCTTCCTTTCACCCCCTCCTCGCCCTAAACGGCTTAGAGAGCCGCAGTAGCTGCAGCCTCGGTTGAAATCTGATCCTGGAGCAAGAGCACCCGGCGGAAAGCTGGACTCCCCTCCCTCCTCCCAGGGGATCCACCTAGCTCCGGACTCCTCCGGTCTCCTTCCTCATCCCCATCCCTACCTCCTCCAATTTCTTCTGTAGCCAGACTGGAAATACCTGTCTGCAACTGGCTAGCTCCCAGATCCTGCCCAGGCACTTCCCGCAGTGCGTGGGGGGAGGGGGGAGGAAAGGGCTGCACCCTAGCTGTGGTTCCCAAGTCCGTTCCGCTGCAAGCCCAGCACCAACCATCCAGAGAAACTGGCCCAGAGGGGAGAAAAGAGAGATGTCTCGACAGGGGACATTGAAAGAGGAGAAATGAAATGTGATCATTTACTGAAGCCTTTTAAGTGCCAGACTATGGACTCCATGTTTTGTAACTTGTGGAGTCTGCACAGAAACCTTGTGAAGAACGTTTGGTTCAGGAGACTAATGAGAAAATATAGGCTCAGCGAACAAGGTGAAGCAACTTGCCCAGGATTTCCCATCTAGGGTATGGCAGAGCCAGAGCCCCATTCAGACCCAACCTGGACCTCATCGCCCACCCCTTGGGACACTTGGACCACAGGCACAAAGATATCTTTGCATGTCTGTCCCTGCTAGCTTTCTACTTCCTTACCTTGGTGCTGCCTTACAGATGGATGCCCCACAGTCAGGCGTTCCCCACCCGGCTTGAGTAGTTGTGTGTTCCTTCAGGAAGACTTTCCTGAAAGCAGCACACTGATCACACCCTAGTGTGAACTCCTATGACTCCAACTTAGTGAACTAGGCATCTGATTCATGGAATCGTGGCCTAAAGTTCATGCGAGACCTTACAGAATGGGTCTAACCACTGTTCTACCCGGTGTCCCTGCCTCACCCTCCAGGTGATGATCAGCCAGCCCCATCTGACCACGTTCTGGGCCAGGAAGCTCATCACCCACCACCATCCCATCTTTACTACTGGAAAGTTCTTCCAGGTATAAACATCTGGTTGCCTGAGATGGAAATGTGGAGGGGGAACCAGAGGATGAGGGAAGGCAGTGGCATGGTCACTCCCACCATCCCTCCAGCAAATTCTCCCAAAGTGACAGCTTTCGGCATTACTTAACAGTGTAACAGATTGAGCTAACAATGATAAGACTGTAATGAAATATGTTAAGTGTACACACAAGAAAGCAAGGCCAGGCAGAATGCCTAGGAAAGACGGCTGAAGCATCTTTCCTTCTTGGATCCTCATCAACCAGTAGGGGAAGAGCTCCCTTCCCCACAGTGTAATGGGCTACACCTCTGGTCTAAAGGTTTTATTTAATTTCTTTCTTCTTTCTTTTTTTTACCATTTTATTTATTTATTTTTAGATAGAGGGGCAGGGAAGGGGAGAGGGAGGGAAACATTAATGTGAGAGATAAACAATGATCAGTTACCTCTTGCATGTGCCCATCCTGGGACTCAGCCCTGTGCCCTGACTGAGCACTGAACTGGGGACCTTCTGACCTTTCACTGTGAGCAGTTGGTTGAGTGTCCTGAGCCATACCAGTCAGAGCCAAGGTTTCATATCTTCTACCTCCAGTGTTTTATTGAGAATAAGCTAATCTCACTTAAACATAAAATAACTTTTTGTAAACTTGGAATTTAAATGATTTTCAATCTTTAAAAATTTATGATGTCATTTTTTCTGGAAACTTATTTTATGTTTTATTATTACTGCATTTTGCTGTGATTCAGGTGTATCCTATTGGTTTTTTTGGTAAGAAAAGGAGCCTAGCTCTATAACTCATTCCCTCACCAGAAATATTGTAAAAGGTGAAAAAAAAACCCAAAAACAAAGACCCTAGTCCCTGAAGCTCAAAACTAAAGATTTTCCTCAGGTTGTCCTCAACCCATAATCATTATTCTCTGGTAAAGTTTATCTAACCAAATAGGATTCTACCTAACCAAAGTAACAGGTAGCCCATGTATTCTTAGCTGTTGACAAAAAGATCAGAAAACATCAATTCCAGGAACTTCAATGACCACATGCCCATGAACACTGGTCCTGGGGCCTGATGAGAAAGGAAGTATGGTTTCTCCCAGATTGTCATGTAACTTGGTGAACCTGTCTTCTATCCCACTGAGAATCTGGCTCCATGAGCATGTGGAGCCTGTCTTGTCCATCCTTGAATTCCCCCATAGCCATTAGTCTCTCAGAGGGGCCCAGCCCACCTCTCCAGACTTATTTGTCACCCACTCCTTTATCACATGCAACGTGTAGTCTTGCAGTCCCTAAGATTCACTGTGCTCTTTCATATAGTGTTTTCCCCTTTATCTGCTATCTGACTATGATGTCCTTTTTCTCCCGTCCCTGGACTCCCTGCTACTCACCGGTCAAATTATGTTTAGCTCTTCTCTCCAGGACATCCCATGTCCAACTCACCACACCCTCCCTCACTTTCACCCAAAGCCCTTGACACACTTTACTGTAATTATTTTTATACACCCCATGAAGTTCCTCAAGGGCGAACAGTGTCTTTTCTTCCTCTCCAGTGCCAGCCCAGTGCCTGACATTCGTAGGTTCTTAAATGTTTGCTTGTACCTGTTTCAAAAACTAAGCAAACTTTGCAAACAACAAAGTACTATCAGGTGATTGATATCCTGGCTTCCTGCAGAGGAAGACGCCTGGGCCTCTCTGAGCTTATATTCCACTTCCTTGAGGGTCTCAGCCTTCCTCCTCCAGGCATTTTTTTCCTTTTTCTGTTCAGAGACTGCATGAAAGAAGAAGGAGCTTTGTGAAATTCCAGGGAGAGCCCTGGGCCAGGTGTTCAGGAACCACTCACTCCTTTATTTACTGTTTATGTGCCTGACTCTGAGATACACAAGGAATGAAGACAGACTCCAGTTGTTTTCTTCCAGTCTTGAGAAAAGTAATAAGTAGCTAAGAAAATGGGGGCTGCAGGCTTGACCCTAGAACTCAGGCCTTTTCGAAAGTGGAACTGCTCAGGCCCAGTGATAGGCACAGAAAATCAGCCTCAGGCCATGGACTGCCTTCCAGCAGAACCACAGCTCCTGCGGTCAGAGAATAGAGTACACTGGTCAGAGAATAGAGTGGGTCTGTTTCCAGTCGTAGGAACTCACTGGGAACTGGTTTCCCACCTTCACCACTTCCTTCCCAAGCCCCAGAGGGCTCCCTCTCCTATACATAAATAAACCTAGGCAGGAAGACCCTGCTAACCTCCTGGCCCTGTTTCCTTTCTAGTCCAGGAAGCCTGGCTCTTAGCTTCTGCCCATGGCCTATGCTGCTCAGAGCCCTCTTCCTGGGTGTTTAGTGCCTAGCCCATGTGTCTTCTTTTCCCAGAAGCAGTGTCCTTGGTCTCCACCATTTCCCAGTGCATCTCAAAGCCTCCTCACAGCTTAGTATTTCTTGCCTTGGAAGACACCTCGGAGGTCAACATCCTCTTCCTCACTGAGAGGGGAAGGCGAGGTCCAGAGAAATGTCAGCTATGGCTTCTGACACATGGCCATCTCCCAACCCCTCACACTTCTTTCTGAACCTCCACAGGGGCACCAGCTCCTCATGTCTCTGTGGGACCCAAGGTACTCTGTTAGCCATATCTCTCTAAGAGCTCCAATCAGGTATACTAATACTTGCCTCTTCTTCAAAGTGTGTGTTCCTTGTGGAATAAGACTGTACCCAAAAGGATGTTTCCTAAAAGTGTCCTAAGCTAGAGGTGGGTGGCAGAACAGAGCCCAGATCTCCTGAGATCTCACCCAGCGCTCTCACCACTGAATTCTGTACCACCCCCTCCAATTCACTTATAATCTACACATGTCCTGTCACTTGGGTGACTTCCAAGTCTCTGCCCAATTCCCCCACCCCATGGCAGCTTCACAAGATCTGATTTTGGGAGGAGACCACAGCTTAAGCCAGATGTGTCCAACCTGAGCCTGGAAGAAGAAGAGTTGTCTTGGGCCGCATATTAAATATATTGTGACATGTAATCACAAAAATATCTCATAATGTTTTAAGTAAATTTATGATTTTGTGTTGGTCTGCATTCATAGCCATCCTGGGACACATGCAGCCCGTGCATAGTTTGCACACCCCTATATAAGTAGTGGCTGATCAAGCCTGGCTGAGGAATTCAGGCTGTCATTGGACTCAGGAACGAACAGAAACATAAACTTAGGGCCTTAAGGGGGTGGTATGTGTGTAAGAGGTAGGCATTAACCCAGGTCAAGAATCCAGAGAGCTCTGAGTCATGAAAATCTATAAAGAAAGGACAGTCAGAATAATAACACCAACCACAAAGGTTAAGGGTCCAGACCTCAACTATTGATCCAGCTGTGAGGTAGGCACCAGAGGCCCAGAGCAGCTGGCATCAGGGAGATGACAGAAAGTTTCCAGGCTCACTCAGACCCAGAGTAGAATGGCACTAGGGAGGTTCCTGTCTCCCCAACAGCACAGCCTCTAGACTGGGTGAGGTATATGGGAGTAGTTTTGAGTGAATTTGTCAGCCAAGGTGCAAGTAGGGCTGTGAGAGCAGATCTTAACAGGAACAAAACCACTCAGGTAGGGCTTTCAGAGTCTGCAGTGTGCTCTCATTAAAGAGTCACAGATTAGTTAGGTTAGAAGAAATCTCTCACTTAAAGTATAAATGTTCTATATGTTAATGAGGAAGTGACAGGTGATGAATAATAATACACCAACACCACATTATGAAGACTCACTTCTATTTCCAAAGCCAGGCTTCAGAATGAATGTAGGCTTGAAAGGAAGCATCTGGAGTGGAAGGAAAGGAGGCTGAAGGGGGCACCTGTAGTGGAAAGAAAAGCAGCTTGAAGGGAGCACCTAGAGTGGAAGAAATGGAGGCTTTGAGGGGGCATCTGGAATAGGAAGTGGTGTGGACACTGGCCCACAGTGTCCGAGGCATTATGGATGAGACAAGATAAACTCACATGGACTACCGTGTCCTGTGGAGGAAAAGGGACTGCACAGCTACTCTCTCAAGGGGAGAGCACCTTGGAGCAGCCTGGCCACTGTATCAAAAGGAGAGCTCACCGACTCTTGCCTTGACAAGCTTTTATTGGCTTTCTAATAGCATACGTCAAAGAAGGTTTTCATTCATTATACTTAGGTTTGCTTTAGGTAATTACTTTTTACAGATAACAATGGAAGAGATGTTACTGATTACTTCTTACAGATTAACAAGGAAAACATGTTGCAAATGCAAGGGAATGATAAGAGTAACAGGTCTGGTTACACTTCAGTCCTTGGGAGAATTAGCACAGACTTCGGGAAGTTACTTTAAAGATATGCAGCAAGGGCTTGCTACCTGAACTCGGGGTGAGAGAGTTTTAGCAAGAGCAAGTCACAAAGCAGCCTAGGTATAATGCAGGCCTGATTTCCCACGGGAGAACTTCTTCATGAGCATGGTCCTGCGTGCCAACTCACCCCCTATGGTTTTCCATGTGGGTGCTGAGCTACATTTCCATGTCTCCAGAAGCGGTTCCCTACAAGAAAGAAAGTGGATTTGGAAGGGGGCATCTTGATTGGAAGGAAAGCAAAGATACAGGCTTGACAGAGTCATCCAGGGAGGGACCAAACAGCTTTTCCAGCATGGTGGTCACCGAATTCAACTTTATTGCTACACAGTCTTCTCTGTGAGAGTAAGACCCTTTGTACATCCACCCTGAGCCCCTGGGACAAAGAAAGCCTGGGGAGGAGAGGGAGGATTTCCTGACAGCTGGGAGGAAACAATGGTCAGGACAGGGGTCCCCAAGAGACAATCAGGCCAGTCTAGATAGAAGCAGGCTTCTTTTCTTTCTCAGTTTCATTCTGTTTCTCCCAAATTTTCTCATCCTAGCTATGTTGCATCTTTTCCGGCCTCGAATGAGCCACAGTCCCATGGACAGAGTTACCAGGAGCAGGAAAAGGAGAGATGCCTTGGCCAAGAGGCAGCAGGAAGCTGAGGCCTTTCCTAAAGGGATCTGGAACAGAAGAAGAAAGGAGGGAGGGGCTCACCAGATGGAGAGGTGATGTACAGAAACCTACTTCAAATCCCACCGAGTGGTCTCAAGTTCACAGTCAGTTGATGTTTCTGTGCAAGTGTCCTAGAAATACTAATTCTATTCACAGAAGCTCAGGAATTGAGATGGGGTGGGGGCAATGTCAAGCTGAGCAAGAGAAGAGACTTTGGAAGTTGGGAGCTCTAAGAAAAGGGAGGGCTCACTTCGCAATCCAGACATCAAGGCTCTATGGGAAGGAGTTAGATTCTAGGGGGTTCTAGATTCTATGTATTCTCTTGGGAAGAACTGAGGGAAGGAGGTGATGGCCTTGAGTCCCTTCACTAGCTCAGGGTTGTCTGGAATCCTGGTACCTGCACAGAAGGATCCAGCAGGAATGAGATGGGAACTGGTGTTGCTGATGGGGTTGCTGGTCCTGGAAGTGTAGGAGAAGATATTGTCCCCAGGGCTCTAGGATGTGCAGAGGACAGAGCCTTCATGAGCTGTGTCATGGCCATCCTCCAAGGATATCCAGCTGGAGGTCACATCCAGGCCTGCTTTCTCAACAGAGCATATCAGGGACATATTTCAGGGGCCTTTGCCAGAGATCTCAAAGTTCACAGTGATGTGAGGCTGTGAGAGGCGTCCTAGATAAGGAACAACACAAAAGCCCTCTAGGTAATCAGGGGTTGGGTCTGTTTTCCTAAATTCTTCAACATTGTGTTATGGGTACTGTGCTCTGAAAGCTCCTCCACCCAAACAACAAATAAGCAAAAACTAACAAAATTCAGTTAGCATAAAACCCAGGGTCCCCCAGACAGCTGCTGAGGCAGGCAGAGCTGCCTGTGGCATCTTCTACCTCCCTTTTATACCTTGCCTCTCTCTCTTACTTTGGCACCCCACCTTCCTCCAAACACATTCTACCTCCTTGATCCCAACATATATTGCCCCCTTCTCAGGGACACTTATAATTTAATCAGTGTTTCAGCAAGATTCAAGCTAGAATATCAGTCAATGTCACAGGCACTAAGAAGAAACTTGCATTCAAATAGGAGTCACTGATAAGTAACCCTCAAATCACACAAAAGAGTAAAAAAGGCTCAAAAACGGAGGTGGCATTCACCCTCCTCAACCCCCATGTAAAATCTCACTGGGAGAGAAAGTCTCCTAGAGATCCACACACAAAGCCCCTGACCTCTCTATATTGGGTACCTCCACAGAACAGTCTCCATGCCCCAGTGCTTTGCTGCTTTAGGTCACTCTACCTGTGGTGGCAGCCCAGGTGCTGGGTTAGGTACACTGGGGACAGTCTATCTTTCAGTCATAGCCTTTAAAGTCATAATCCCAAGTCCTGAGACCCCTCCTCCTTTGCACTGGAAGCTCAGGAAAGCCAGAGAAAGCAGATTTGCAGTTCCCAAATTAAACTCATGGTATTTACGTATATTGTAATGCTACATGGTGGAGACCTGGGATGTCTTCAGGTTGACTTGAGCTTGGTAAGGCCCCAAGTCCTCCAGACTCAGATTGCTGATGTGTAGAGAGTAGCTGGGATTCAGGAAGCTTACTCAACCCTGGTATCAAGGGTTGGTCACCATGATGGTAGCTGAATGTCTCTCTTTCCCTGGCACCACAGTAGCAAGCCTTATGTGGGAGGAACAGATGATGTTCTCTACCTCTTCATCAAATGGCATTTCCAGGGGTAGACTGATGGACTCCTGAAAGACTGCAACCATTTCCTTGGGATCCACACCATCTCCAAAATCTCCTTTGGCTGCAGATAAGGAAGAAAATGGATAGAAAGGCAGCTGGTGTATCTGGGCTGCTGGGACTGGCAGCAGGGCTGTGGTCTCAATCTCTATTGAGCAACTTGCTAAGGTCTCACACTCAATCTTGTCCTCCAGCTACCTCTTCTGGCTTTAGCTTTCTGCTGCACCTGTCTTGAGCACCTACCAGGAGTTGGCTTCCATCTGTACCCTCACCCTCCAAATTTTACCCTCTCTGTTTGCCATTATAGAGCTAGTCTCCCTTCCATATCCCCAGGTTTCCTCATGTCTTGGTCCTGCCCTGAAACCATACCCTATTCCTTTTCACTCCAAAAGAGCAGAAACATTTAGTCCCAAAGCAAGTGCCTTGCTAGCCCAAGGCCCAGAAGAACAAAACAGAGGGGGAAGGACACACTTTTGTCCTGGAGCTGCAGTCTCTCTCACCTTCTTGCTGTTGCCAACAGCAAGAGCAGGAGCAGCTGAGGAAGGAAGGGTTCACATATCAGCAGCCCCATGCCCTAGGAGGTGTGACTTGGTCAGCACACAAGGCTGTGAGGAAGACAAGCTGTCAGGAGGCTACTAAAGACAGTGACTGATTGGCTATCCTGAGGAGAGGGAAGTAATCCTCACCCTATCTCCTGCCCTCTAACTTCCTCCTTTCTTACAAAGCCTCTCCCCCTCCATGTTGGGAAGATTTCTCTCTCTGAGCCTCATTGTCAAGAGAGTTTACCCACTGACTCAGGTTTCCTGTCCATCAGCTCAGCTCAGATCCCACTTCCTAAGTGAAGCTTTCATCGAGTCCCCACCCTCTATGTTTCCATACCCCGCAGACATACTACCACCTCTCTCAAACTCTTAGAACTCTTTCTATCCAGGCTTGGCAACTCCTATATAGCTGTGATCATTTGATCTTATAAACATCTTTATCTCCATAGACAGACTCCATCTTCTGGAATATCTCTGTATGCCCCACTGTTTCTGGCTCCCAGGTTAGACACATCTAACTCAACTGGTATTTTTGGAATGAATGAATGAAATCTTCCTTTTGCATTTCGAGCTAGTTATGTTGCCAACTGAGAGACTTATTCAGAGGAAGAAAAAGCTGACTCTCTTTTAAAAAGCAAAATGAAAATGTTACTCAGTTCTTGAGTAATGGAGAAACTCAGTTCTTGCCTACACATTAAAGAATTACAGGTCAGCAAGCCTATTAGCATGTAAGCAAAGTTTACTAGTGATACATTCTCATGGAAGAGAATGGGCCTTGCCAAGATGGGATCAAAAGGTGTAGGCTTGGGTGGCAAAAGCAAGGGAGGCAAGAGCACCAGGTCTTTTGTCCTGAGGACTTATGTAGTTGGTGAGATGAAGGTGAGGGAGTTACATATTGATTGGTGGGTAAAGATGGTGCCAGCTTCCCCAGGGAAATGTGACTACCCAAATGTAGATATGTGTGGGAGTCTGTTTCCCCAAATTCTCATCTTGCTCCAGACCACATTCATTCATCTTGTTGTAAAACAGATATGTGACAGGAGGCAGTTAGTTAAAGTTGAGGCAGTTACCCAAAGTTATTTATGGGCTCTTTCTGTAAGTACTAGAAACCCCCTTGTAAAACAGATAGTGACCAGAGGTAGGCAGTTAACCAAAGTCGTTTTGTGGTTTTCTTCTTTGGGTACTGTAGATCCCCACTTCTTCCCCCTTCCAGACCTTGGGATGAATATACAGTTTCAAAGGCTTTCTTTCCCAGATAGCGGAAATGATACATACAGAATTTCAAGGGCTCCCCTCCTCCTTTGCTAGCATGATGTTTCTTGTGATGTTGGAACACCTGGCAATATTATCAGACCAGGCTCAGGACTGCTGAGTTAATGAGTGAGACATGTCTCCCCACTCCTCCCTACCTTGGTTTACTATCTATCATACGTAACAAAAAGACTTTATATTATTTTATGAGGATATAATGTGGATCAAATCAGATTGAGGGTGAGTACAAGGAATCAACAATCTTTCTAATGGTCAGAGCTGTCTAGAATGCACTGGGTGACCTTCTGAGGTAGTTTCTGCCCCTGATAATCAAACTAAGACTGGACAATCACTTGCCTGGATATTTTGCAACATCTCTAGCATTAGGTGGTATATAAATGTAGATGTGAGCAGAACCAACTTCATCTTTGTATCCCAGAGTTGTCATGCTGTAATGTTTGACTAACCTTACTGTCCTAAGCAAGCATATTAAAGCTTTCTAGTTGATAATTATCTATATTCCTTAAAATGTAGCCCCAAATGTTTTTTGTTAGTAACAGCCAGAATGGCATGACAATCAAGAAAATATTGGGTTGGCCAAAAAGTTAACTTGGCTTTTTCTGTAAGATGGCTCTAGTAGTGCTTAGTGGTCTTTAACTTCATTCAAAACAATTTTGTTAGATTGTATTGTGACAGCTGTCATATCAGTGTGCATTTCAAAATTGGTGAACTTTTGTGCAGTCATTTTAATATTGAAGATGGAAGAAAATATGCAACAGTTTTGCCATATTAGCTTTATTAATTCAAAAAGGTAAAGACGCAACTGAAATGCAAAAAAAAAGATTTGTGCAGTGTATGAAGAAGGTTTTGTAACTGATTAAACATGTCAAAAGTTGGGGAAGAAAGCAGAACTGAGCAAGGAGAGCCTGGAACCAAGATGCAGAGCAGTGTCTGCTAACTCTGCAGGAAGCTCTGAGCTAGAGCTAGCACCCTCACTGTGCACAGCCAATGGCTATTCAGGAGGAACACAGACCTTGCAGGCACAGCAGCAGGAGGCTGTCAGTTAATTGCACCTCTTGTAGCTGAAGACAAGCAAGGCTTCTCTTGAAAGAAAGTCCAGTGACAACTTCATGGCTGCTACAGTGAATGTGCTGGTCATAGAAAAGGTAAAAAAGGTAACTATCTTCACATGGATTAACCCTATCTATACACAGTACATTATGCTTATGGAGCCCAGGAAAGTAATTTCATCCTCCCTACCCCCATTTCCACTGAGCCTTCCCAGTCCAATGTGGAGAACGTACTTCTCAGAGCAAGGTTTCCAAGTGCTTTGAAAATCTGATTTTCATCCTTGCTCACAGATTGTGATCCCAATGCAACCCCACTTCTGTCTCTCTCACTGCCCCATTAATCCTACTCAGTGAAGTAGTCTTCCTGTGCACCATATGAAAACTCTGGCCTTGGTTTTATGTCTCAGTTCAGAAATGAGAGCTTTCTGTCCCATGTAACGTACAAAATTCCAAGCTTGAATTATAATCCAACTCTCCTGGCCCCAGCTTTGGTCTGTTTCCTGCTGGAGCTTCCAGTGGGGGTGGGGGTGGGGTGAGAGGTTGGAAAGCTGTCTGATTACTCTCAGCTGGCTCCAGCACCTCTGACCCCTCAACTCATATCCCCCAATTCTTGTCCCCTCCTCCAGGAAGGTGGGCAGGCAGGGGAGGTGATGAATTTCTTACCTAGCCTAATGACTTTGCTCCCTGCAGGTCTGGCAGATGGTTAAAATGGAATCTTTTCTCCAGAAGGGAAGTTCTACAGGTTCTTAAGAGTTTCCACTGGTTCCCTCTCTCCTAGCCTTGACTCAGGTGGCTGCATCTCTATTCTGGGTTGTCCTTTGAAACATCTTCCTCAGGCCCTAGAACACCTCAGCCTACATCTCATCTCCTCCCTTTGCCCTTCATCTGTCATCATTGTAGAGCACTGAGGTCAACCAAGCAAGCTGTGCCACATGGGTGGCCCTCAGATGCCCAATGTAAACATTTCTCACCCTGACAGATTCCAGTATCTATAACACAGCACCACACTTCTGGCTGCCTCACAGGAGTCAGAGCTCAGTCCACAATGGTTTTAGCTCTCCCAGGCCAGACTTAGGATCCTGTCTCCTCAGACCCTCACCTGCAGGGCACAAATTTCAAAGTTCTCCAGGTCCTTTCCTTGAAATTTCCTCATCTAGCTTCTGATCAGAGATACAACATCATCTATCCTTTAGGGAAGAAGTGAGGATTCACAATAAAATAATAATTACAGCAGGTCCTTAAATAATGATGTTTTGTTCAACGTAATTTTGTTATAACATTGATGAGGGTAGAAACTTAAGTCTTCTTTAGGACTTACTCAGACTCAGCCCCTCTAAGCTCCAGAACCAGGGAAGCAGCTTGAAAGATAACAATGGCATACAGAGAAGAGCTAAAGTGTCTGGCATCAAGGCAAGAACTGGGGGACAGCTTTCTCCCAGACAGAAGAGCAGGTAGAAACCATTGTCCCTCTTCTGAACCTTCCCCCAACAGAACCAAAGAGCTGGTAGGGGGGTGTCTTATATGAGACTCCATCAACTTGACTAACATGGTTTGCCCCACCCTGGAGATTCCCAAAGACTCTGTCCCACCCAACTTACAAGCTCACTCAAGCTGTTATCAGTGACTTTTCCACATGAATGGCTGGTCTTGGCTAATGATTCACAACTTCCTAAATCCTCTCAAACAAGCAACTACGGGTCTCAGTGAGCCCCCAGCCCCTGTACCTCTTGCTAAGTGGCCCCAGGCCCAGCACTAGCAGTAGCCAGCCTAGATCTGCAACTTGGCTTTGCCTGGGAACCTCCAAGCCCAGCACAAGGAGCAGCCATCTCAGATTGCTTTATAGCTCATGAACAGTAGCCCCTGGCAGAACACAGGTTGGGGCTGACCTTGGCCTGAACCACTTGGGAAACACCAGAGCCTGCACACCCACTGGATAGGAACAGACCATGTTGGAGCATCACAACCCTGCCACTGCACAGCTGATTCTACACAGCAGGCAGAGGTTGGTGGTCAGTGGTCACAGCCAGTCCTTCCTGCTGACTGGCCTGGGTAAATCCCTCTCATTGACCTGCCAACAATAATCAAGTCTCAGCTACAAGAGGAGGGTGTAGTCAGCCACACAAAGGGCTTACCTCAAGCACCCAGCTTGGGTGATAGTGGAGGCAGTGCCCTGGACCCTACAGGACAATTACTACATTAGG